CCTAAACCGTAGATCCTGTGACAGCTCCAGTCAGGTACTGCTGGAAAAACCAACCTGCTATGAGCCTTACGTGCAGCAGAATATCTGTTTAAGGGGGTCTCGGTCCCATATGAGGTCTTACTGTAAGATATAAAATGCTGAAAACATCAAGAAATCCTTTCTTAATATATGTGAAAGACCAAGGCTGCTGGACTGTAGATCTCCAAATCTCTGAAAAATACAAGGAGGCCCTTTTGAGTGATGGAGAAAGCAATGGGTAACCTTGGGACACAAGGAGAAAGAATTGGAGAAACAAGAAGAGGGGAGGCACAGGCTGAGATTGCTCTGCTGCCAGCACTCGGTGCTTCATGGTGGCACCTCCACGGCCTCACCTGCAGTATGAGCACCAGGACTTACACAGCTCATCTGCATGGATTGGACCAGCTCACAGTCTACTCCCCCACGTTTCCAAACATTTTAGCATTAAAGTAGCCTGCTTTACTCGCAGTATGGAAAATCCTGCCAAGTCTTATGGAAGAGGGCCAGCCTGTTCTTACTCACGCAACTAGGTGTGAACCAATATCCGTGCTTATTTAATTGTGATTGCCGTGTTTCCACCAAGCAGTCTGCAGGTGGTTTGTCAATGCTTCCAGCATGGAAAGAGAGCTACAGTGCAGGTACGGCAGGTGGAGGGCTCTCACGCGGCCACGGGGTGGATGGGTTGTGCTGTCTGTCTGTCCTGTGTGTCCATCCTTCCTCCGCATGCCGTGCTGAGAGGGACCTTCAGCGCCCAGGGGCATCTCGCAGTAGGACAAGCAAGGAAGGGTGAGTGGACTTCAGATCTGACAGCTCTGCCATGGTTTTCTGGTGTGAAAGCAGTCAGGCCCACAAAAGGGGATGCTGAAATGAGAGCCATGGCATCAGGAAAACCTTAAAATATGAGAGAACTGGTGACCTTTGTGGGCAATTCCTGTTTTCCTCTTCTTCCTTCTGGAGGCTCTCGGTTGTGAGATAGATGCTCTTGCAATACGTACAACGCCCAGCGTGGCTGGCATGTTGGTGCCAGGTCTTTTTGCTTTTAAATGCCTCAGCTCTTGCTAAATATCGTTGCAGCATAGAAAGCTTGGCTCCCCTGTTAGACAACCCAGGAAAGCTCTGGTGACTCTATAATCATATGAAATTAAGATGACTTGCAGCTCTGAAGGTTCCTCTCAGGCGTGTTCCCCCATCTCACAGCTCCTGAGCACCACTAATGGTTTCAAATTAATTAATGGTTAAATGGTTTAAATGGTTTCAAATTAATTAAAAATCTTCTGAGAACAATGAGGGCTCCATTATCTACAGAAGCTAATGTGAGTCTGGGGATGTCCCATGGTCCATCTGCTAGGACAGAGCAGAGCCAGGAGGTACCCCTGCCCTCTTTGAGCTGGCACATGAAATGTTCCCTGAGTTCATCTGGATTTTACACCTTTCTGTCATAGGCAATCTTGCTATTACTATGCAATGGTTTACCCTTTTGTGAAGGAATTAGAATGACCCTATTTTCCTGTATTTCTACGCTAGCGTATGTCATCTTTATCTAAAAGAAAGGTGGAAAATGAAACTATCAGTAGCATCTTTTCATTTGTGGTCTTTGCAAGCTCTCACATCTTGATCGATGTACACAGCAAATGTAAAACAAGGTGGTATGTTATCTTGGTGTTGGTCTTCTACAGGGAATCTTTTTTCTACATTAAAAAAACCCAAACTATACAGAGTTTCTTGGAAACACTACAGTGGGATGCTAATTCTCTTGCGAGAACTCAGATCTGGAGGTTCACACTGGCCAGGCTAGAAGAGTTATTTGGAAATTGGGCATTTGTGCAGTATTTTTGATCAATCAACCTCTCATCAAAATAGGTGCATTAAAAGAGAATATATCCCAAGCTATTTACACATAAAGGGAAGTGGACTCACACAGTCACCCGCTGCAACGTGGCTACTGAGTTTATTATGAATTTCTTTCAGCTTTTTTGAGTTATGGTCAAAAAACCTCTATTTCCTCTCTGCATTTTGGCCTGTGTTGCTTAAAGAGAGATAAAGGGAGCGGAACATAGGGAGATCAGATATCTAGACACAAGGACAAAAAATAAACTGCAGATTGCATTTAACACACAAATGACAACAGTATTTTTGAAAATACTTTGCCGCAGCTGGTCATCAAAATGAAGACTTTTAAAATATCAAAACTAAGTGTTGAATGTTTTGATTAAAAACCTGGTCTTTTTGCCGGGATGGCAGCAAATACGAATTTCCACGGTCTTTGAATCAGCCTCTAAATGCTGGAATAGAGCCTAAATTCTCCAAAGAGAAGCCAAAAGTGGTGCCGCTCACTTCTGTGCCCAATCCACGACTGCTCTAACCGATACATGGAAAGTTCTTCCTCTGCCAATTTGACTTCTGGTAATTTCTGATTCACTGTAAATTGAATACAGCTTTTCTGGTGACCTATCTGCCCTGGAGCAACAACAGCATGACAAGGCTCTCACTGAGCCATCGAATAGAAATCTAAAGATGAAGAGATAGCGCGGGCACTGCTGGCAGGTAGAGAGTGCCAGGAGGAACCATGGGCTCGGGGAGCAGCCCAGGAGCAGCTCTGGAAGCTCTGCCACTCTGATTTTCAGCTTGTGACAAAAATACAGATCTTATCTCTTTGGGCAGCAGGCCTGGGAAGAAGCTCCCTGATCTGCTCGCTGCCCAGTAAACATAATTATGTCTCCTGAATGGAAAGGTCCTAATTATGCCATCAATCACTTTCGCTTACAGAGCATGGCAGCTGCATTGAGACATCATTCCTAAGGTGAAGAGGCCCCAGAGACCCTGCTAAGTCCATCAGATTTTGTAAAATCCTTGTAAAGAAAGAGTGTAGCAGCTACTATGCAAAATGGGATTTCTAATGAACATATTTTCCTTCAAACCAAGAAGCAGTAGCAACTCCTGGCTGTCACAAAAAGCCCCTCGTCCCTCTGTCCCCACGGCTTGTTACCAGCACATCCCTTGCACAACCTTGGCTAAATCAAAGATGCTTGTGAATTCTTTCCTTTAAAACTATGTAAAATCATATTTTTTTCGACCATATGAGAAACCGAGCGTCCCACAAATGTTGCACATCATTTATTCCCTTCAGGAATTTCTGCTTTGAACTAATTGTTCTCGTTCTTGCCGTGGGGCTTTACTGGCTGAAGAAACAGAGTGCAGCACGCCCATTGCTCTGCTTGAGCAAAAGGCTGGTTCCTCAAGGGAGACCTACCCATCCCGGCAGCTTCTTTACTGCTTTTCAGGGAATTACAGGCTCTCGATCACAAATCAATTATTTTAGCTCTTCTCTACCAGCCTTGAAGGATGCCACTGCCTGGTTCATGAATACCATCCCTCCTCACGATATGCTTTTGTGCATCTGTGGATCCTAACGTAGCCTGCTGCCAGCTTTAGCTTGCCAAGGGAAGGCTTCTGGCTTTTCCTAGGTATTCCCCAGGGTTTGTGTGAAAGCTGTAGCTGCCAAATGGGATGTGTGCTTCCCACGCTAAATCAAAGAAAAGAATTCAAAGAAAAGGCTGGGAGCATCCATCCCTGCCCAGAGTCAGCGCTCGGTGGGCAGGCAGGGACACAGGAGGAGGGATGCAGGGGTATGAGGAGGGATGAAGGAGCAGGAGGAGCAGGGAGAACTTCCTCCGCTCCCCCAGGCAGGCAGCAGATCCCCTCTCAGCTGGATGAATGGTCTGTAGGCAAATGCCAGAGAAAAAAAAACCCAACAGATTGCAAACTGATGTTTTCTCTTTCCAGGACAGTTTCCAGTTTCACGCTCATCCTTCAGCCAGACTGACCAGCAGAAGGCTGAAGCTCTTGGAGAAGACCTTGGAGGCATAACGGGATTTAAGGCGTAACAGGAGGGAAGCTTAAAAGTCAACACTGGGGATCTGAACGAGATCTGAAGGGCTACCACTTGCTTTGCCAAGGTGTGCAACTTGAAAAAAGGAAGCCTCTGGGGCCACAGAAAGCTCTAGCAGACATTCAACCTGATTTGGAGACTCCATCTGGGAGAATTTCTGAATTAATACCATTTTGGTAACCTAGGACTAGTTCTGCATCCACTCCTTTCTGCTTAAAAGGGACCGGTGGGATATGACACTGCGGTCTGTGTTGGCACTCTGAGTGTCCGATCCTTATCTCCACTGGGCAGAGGTGGGATTGAGGACCACGGGATCGCTCTCCTGATGGGGCAGCCGTAATTCAGCGTGACAACTTCTCTGGGCGCTGCTCCCCAACTCCAGCTGTTTGTTTGTCTGCTCAACAGAGCCCTGCAACGCCGCCAACTTTCTTTGAGAAAGGTCCTGCTCTGAATCCAGGTGGAATCCAGCTCGCAGCCTGGCTGGGTGTTTTCTCAGGAACTCGGGCAATGCTGAAAATTATTGTCTCTTCGCTTTCATGGAACCGTAATTTACATAAGCACAGGAGACAAAACCCACATCTGAAAAAAAAATGCTTTCGTAGATTTTTTAACCATTGTTTCCTGTTGGGGTGTGATATCATAATGTTCAAATTAATCTCTTCTGAGGAGCATTTGTGAATTTCCGCAGTACTAAAGAAAAGTCACTGCAGTAGGTGACTCAATTCCACGTTTGATTTCTCTAAAATGCTGTCCATGCTAGTGGGAAAAAATAGTGGGCACCTGGTATCAGTTTTATAATTGGGTTTTTCCATATTAGAATGGGAATTTTGTGAAGACTCAATTAAAAGGAGTGTCCTCCTATTCTTCTGCTACCCATCAGACTGAGTTGCACATGAAAGCCAGCATGCTGTCATACATACTGCTCTCTTGTTTGCTGCTCTCTGTGCAAGCACAGAATTGCAGAGTCCGGGAAATTATCTGGTATACAAATCGTCTACTTGTAAGTGGCTGTTTAGCACCTTCAGTCTGTAAGAATGCATGCTTGTAAAGTAGGTGATAAGGAATATTGATTTCTCGCTTGTTACTCTTTCAGGAGGAAGGGTCTCTAGGTTGCCCATGTAGGGAGACAGCTGGCAGCGTGAGTATATTGCTTTTGAGAATCTCATGAAACTAAACAAAAATGAACTTGTGTGTTGAATGCTAGAGATTCTGGGGTTTAATGCTCTGCTCTTTTCATTTTCAGTCATGTTCGTGTCTTCCCATTGCTGAGGTAAGTCTATTTTTTTAAGCTACTGTAGCTGTTAAAGAAGTTCAATATTAACTTGAGTTTTAGTCTGTTCACTTTTGCTCCATATACAACTTTTGCTTTCGGTTATGAGGAAGATTTCAATACACCAGTAGCAGCAAAACCGAGCTTGATAAATAGCAGTGGGGAGGGCAGAAGTCCTCCCGTTATCAGTGCATTCAGAACCAGGCCCAGGCAGAAGACCTTTGTGGCCTTGACTTACATAGCAAAAGATACAGGTTCCTGAGTTGAGAATCTCCACAAAACCTTGTTTCGTGGTCGGTGCCCAAATAGTGAGTGAACCTGGGCCAGAGATGTCCGGCCTCAGACGCTCAGCTCTAGGTATATCCAAAACCCATCGCATGTTTGGAAGCCTCCTCAGATACGGTGAAACCCAGCATTAGCTGAAACTATACTTCAAAGAGGTTACTTCTACGGTTTGAGGCTTTCTGAGAGAGACGACAGGGATGACTTGGTGTTTTACAAACCCCCAAAGTTCTTGTATCAGTTTTCAATAGAATGCAAAATATATTCCATTTAACTGTGACATGCTGCCATGTTTAGGACACAAAATGTATTCTGTTTTTTCAAATGCCTTCTTCGTTTAACAGCCCGGCCACGAACTGGCATGCTTTGTGGAAGGAACTGAACACATGCTGAAAACCAACTCACCTTCAAACAAGACAATTGCACTGCTTAATAGAACCTTCCAGGTTCAACGGGACAGAAACCTCTGTGAAGTAAGACTTTTCTCATGTTTCTATAGATCTTGGTCTATCTTGGGATTTCTTATCATTTAAATATTTGTAGCTAAGTGTTGGGTTAATTTCAAATTTGTTTTAAATACTCATTTTATACATTTTAAATGAGTATGTAAAGACTCATTGATATATATGCAGGCAGATATGATAGCTACAACATGCCCTTTAGCCTGAGGACCTGTGAACACAGATCTCTGGGAGGGGAGCTTTATTTAAATCACTTTTCTATTTTCCTTTCTCAAAACTTGTTCCTACACTGAAGAGTAGTGATCTAAACCCAGAGAGCAGATGTGCAGAAGCAGCGTGGCTGGGCTCAGGTGGCAGAGCCACCTCTTCTGGAGAATTAATTCTACCTCAGCTGCAGTTTCTTCAAGGATACTTGAGCATGAAATCCTGCCATGACCCGCAGCATCTTCAAACTTGTGATGGTGCTCGGGAAGACTTCTGCATCCTCAAGATGCTTTTTTGAGGCAGTGAAACCTCCTTTATTTACTTACTCAGCAAAACTGTTGAGTAATTCAGTGAGACGGGGAAGATGCTGGTGCTGTAGGGTCTCGAGGTCCTTCAGCTTACTTCAAACCTGCAAAGGGGGGTATTGCTGGAGTGACACTGCAGCCCTGAGCAGGGCCATTGCCCTTGTCTTACCCAGCTTCTCCAACTGCTCTACCTGCTCTCTTGCCCATCTTGAAACCTACTTCAAATTGCTTCAACTATAACTATCTGATACGTGACTATATAACAGTCCAGCTGTCACCTTCTTAGTCACCATGAAAAGCCATTCTTACACTCACTGCTCAAGGAACAGTTCTTTAGGAATTCTTTTTGAAATCCCTGCGTAGCTCCAAAGAATGTGTATTTTAACCGTTTCATCTATATCCTTGATTTTTTATAAACTCTTTCCTCCTTCACAGAGCCTGGCACATGGGAAGCAATGTCAGTACAAGACCAAGGGAGACGTGAAGGAATTTTTGAATAAAATCCTGAGAACCTATCAATCAATCAATCAACGTAGATCTTAGAAAAAAATTAAAAATGCTTTAAAGAAGCCAAAGCTCTTCAAGAAGAAGAGGGAACAGAAAAGTTATTTATTGTATTTATTTTCCACCTGAAATGTAAAAGGTAGACATAATAACTGCTAAACCAATAAAACTGTAATTTACGTAAGCACCAAAAGTATTCAAGAGCCTTCATTTTATGTTTTACGTTTGCTGCAACCTGTGTTTGTACCAGTGGGTGTTAAAACGTTTCTGCAAAGCTCTGGTCCAACAGTTTCCCTCCCATGAGATGCTACAGCAAAGTGCAGATATGCCTGTGAACTTGTTCCCCTTCCTGTCCGTAGGACGTTGTTGGTGCAGGACACCAAGGTTTCGCTTCCCATGGGTTAACATCTTCTACACCCTCTTTTTTTTTTCCCACTCTGACCGCTGTATAGCACCAGAAACATTTGTGGACTTCAGATTCAAACAGAAATTCTGTGTTTTCTTCCAGCATCAGTTTTATTTTTTGATAGTATCTCCACACCATTCGCTTTGCTTCTCTCTTGCAAGGTTGCAGATTTTCCTGCCTATAGCTACCTTGTCTTTGTTCTTCTTCTAAACATCCAGTAGTAGAGAATTCATTAACACCTTAACATGCAAAAGCAAGACCACACCCAGGGTTAATGTCAAGATCTGAATGGGCTTGTGTATTTGGAACTTGTGAAGAAGTTTCTTTGTCAGGATGTATTTAACACTGGCTTTGAAGAAGATCTAAGTGCCCGTGAGCTCAAATATGCTTCTCTATCACCTCTCCACTCAGCTCAACAGAAACAGAAGATGCAAAAAGTGAGCTTTGCTGGAAAAAAACCTGACATATACGGGGAGACGCTTATCTCAGCAACCTATTCCAGCCTTTCTAGTAGTTTCTTAGATCTCTTCACACAAGGGAAAATCCCAAGCAGGTGAGAGAAGGTCAGATTTCATCATCTTTGTGGCTCAGAGAGGAACAAAAGAGATAAGGGAGTACAAAACAGGATACCCCTGTTTTGTAACAGGGCTGGATGGAGGATCTTAAAAGACCTGACGTCATTTCTTCACCACCTCCACTGGAATATGGTGGATTTTTCAGACTTCAAGGAACAGGCATATAATTCCCTTTCTTTTTTCAGCATGAAGGGTGGTATCAATGGGATGAATATGTTTTAGGATCAAAAGCGGGATAGAAACACTCATCAACTATATTATTATTCTGAAGGTTTGCATTAATATGGGCTTGGGGTAAAAAAGAGAATTAGATTATAGAAAATGAATCTGATACAACTATATAGAAAGACTTAAACTTATGTAATAAGTGTATCAGATCACATGCATTTCCTGATGTGTTTCTTCCACCTAGTTCAAATCTGATAAGCTAATAAATATTAAAATACTGCGGTAATGCCTATGCAGATAAACCAAAGAAATTTCATCTTTCTCACATTTTCCTATGTTTTCTACTCTAAATTCAGCTCAGACACCTTTCTCCTAAATAACCATTATTTTGGAATGTAATGCGAAGAAAAATCACCCACTTTTCTGACAAATCAGCAGAATTCTTACACGTGCTCCTGGCCTTAAACAGAAGAAAAAAAGCTCATTAACATCTATAGATCTTAGTGAATCTATGATGTCAGGTCTCAAATTTCCAAATATTGCCTCATCAAATACTGACACTCAGTCTCGTTAATATTTTCCAAGTGCAAGTGCAAACTATTTCAGTGTTTCCACGATGCTTTGATTTCACATCTTTGTGCGTGCAGCTCACCCGCGTTGTGTCTACTCATAATGTGTAGCAAGCCTGAAATCTGAAAAACCTTCATTCATTTTTATAGCTGAGCACAAAAACTTCCCAGGTCCTAGGACCGCAGGCAGCTGATCTCAACTGTGTGTTCACAGCAACTGCGAGGAAAAAAGAAGATTCCTCATTGAATACTTTTACTCCCCAAACGACTTCATTAGATTTATGAAATAGACGCAGTAATTGTGAAATCGTAGCGCAAGCAGAAGACACATCATAATTAAGTTTTACCCAGCATAAGCTGGCAAGAGGCAGATGTACGCCGTCGGCTTCCAGTCAAATCAGCTCTGTGAGGCAGTAACATGAAACTCTTGCACGGAATTTGAAAAACCCAACCAAACTCAACTGCAGAAGATACGTCTGCAAAATACCTACTCATCTGATGCCTGGGTTTGCAGTCTCTGTGAGAGAAGCGGTCGCTGTGTGCTTAAAGCCTTCGGTGCAGAATTGTGCAACCTCAAATAAAAGTGCCTCTGCTGCTGACTCTCACCGGAGACATACTCCTTGTGTCCATGAGCTGATGCCAAGCCTTTGCTTCCATCGGTCACCTCCCTCAACCCTTGCGATCTCAGGTGCAGGAAACATGGTAGTCCTTCATCCTTGAGTAGTTTAGTCTTCTGCCTCCCCACAGGAGTACTCAGATCTTCTCTGTGGGACTCTCGACGTCTTGCAAGCCCCAGGGCAGCCCCGTGGGAAGGGCTGGATGTCTCTCAGCAGGACCAAGCACCCTTCACCCAACGCTGGAGCAGCCCCTGAGCAACGTAGGACCCTGCAGACGCACCTCTTCTCTCCCGCCTGAGTTTGGTTCATGACAGGATTGTGAAATTGCCAGTTGAAAAACAAAAGGAAACTAATCCATTGAGGTAGTTAATGACTGTAATAAGTACCTTAGTCTGTTATCTCAATTATCTTTCTCTAGCAGCTCTCTAGCAGGAGGTGTCATACTATGCTCTCTGCCGGAGAGGATATGGCACAGGGCCGACATACTCCTTGTGTCCATGAGCTGATGCCAAGCCTTTGCTTCCATCGGTCACCTCCCTCAACCCTTGCGATCTCAGGTGCAGGAAACATGGTAGTCCTTCATCCTTGAGTAGTTTAGTCTTCTGCCTCCCCACAGGAGTACTCAGATCTTCTCTGTGGGACTCTCGACGTCTTGCAAGCCCCAGGGCAGCCCCGTGGGAAGGGCTGGATGTCTCTCAGCAGGACCAAGCACCCTTCACCCAACGCTGGAGCAGCCCCTGAGCAACGTAGGACCCTGCAGACGCACCTCTTCTCTCCCGCCTGAGTTTGGTTCATGACAGGATTGTGAAATTGCCAGTTGAAAAACAAAAGGAAACTAATCCATTGAGGTAGTTAATGACTGTAATAAGTACCTTAGTCTGTTATCTCAATTATCTTTCTCTAGCAGCTCTCTAGCAGGAGGTGTCGTACTATGCTCTCTGCCGCAGAGGATATGGCACAGGGCTGGGGGGGGACAAAGGAGGTGAAAAAGGTCAGAAATCCGGTATACTTGACTTGTCTGCAAAAGTAGGTTTTATTGTGGCATAGATATACAATGGGAATTAATAATCATGATTTCAGGACAGAGCCCTTCTTCCAACCACTCAACCCTGTCCAGGTGTTCATGGCAAGGTCATCCTTGTTTTCAAATATTACAGTTCCGCACTTGCCTTGCTTCTACAACTAACATCAGAAAAAGGAGATTCTGAACACTATTTGCTATATGTTTACTGAGACAGAAACCCTCCATATCTGAGGATGCGGAGCAGGAGTGGCTACTTTCTGCAAACTGGGAAGTTACCACCATTATCTCTGTACATAGCACCTCTTTCTTCGGGAATGGCCTCACGAGAGTTAAGGGTGGGGAATGTGCAGGTCAATTCCCCACCACGTATCACCACAACCATGTGAGTTTTCCACATTAGCACAAAGTAATGTTAAGCTGTATGTTATGAATGACCCAAAGACATCTGAGAAGCTACTTTGCTTTTCAGTGAAGAAGAATTCTCACAACCCTGCTACGCCAGCCAGCACACAAGCCTTTCTTTGAAAGGTATTTGCTGACAGGGCTCAGCCACAAACCCATTCACAACATCTGCAGTTCCACACTAGTATTTTCTTAGTTCGGGCATCTACTTATTAGCACGGCTATTACAAAACTTTTAGTGCTGTCTTCAGAAATCTGGCAGCTTTATAAACTTGAGTGTCTTCTATGATACTTATCATGGCAGAAGAAGAGCAGCAAAGCCAAAGCTCTTGGGCTCCAGTTCACTACCCCTAATTTTACACAACATGACCTGCTGCAGGACAAGCCCAAGCCCTAAGCAGTGTCAAAGATCTAATAACAAGCTGTCTCCAATGACAGACAGGCAAATACTGCTTTAGAAGATATTTTTGGAGGGACTATAACTGCCCTGCTGCATCTGGTATATTCTTTTTTTTAAATGAGTCTCTTGCACCCCTGCAAGAACAAGTCTGGCATATGCCATGCTATGGGGAGGAGAGGCACTGGGCTGTCAAATGCTTCCTCGTCATAAACCTCACTCAGTATTTTAAAGCAGTTTTACATATTTCTGTAAGAAAGCTCATCTTATCTGCCTAAACCTCAGAACACCCTCCTGAGGCACGTAGACAAGCCTCACTATTCTAGTTTTACAGAAAAGTAAGGAAACAAGAGTTTGGTGAGACGGAGAACTTATTTCTCCCCAACACGCTGCATTTTACAATTTGTCTGAAAGTGATAGCATTTTCTTGCAGAGCTCCACACACACCAGGGTTTCACATTGCCAAGACACAAATGACAGCACACACAACATCAGGTGGTGCTACTGGGGAAGGCTACAGTAAAAGGAACCATTTCCAGTCTGTTTCCCCCCAGGACAAGCCTATGCCTGCCCACAGCTGGTTGTAACTCCCTTCCCATCTTCTCTATTGGTCTCCCACAATTTGATCCAATCAACTAAAAAAATCTCCAAAAGTGAGAACTAAAAATTCCCTGGCCTTTTATGTGTGTCTCTGATGGAAGCAGCCATGGTGATCTATAAATCACAGCACCTTCACAGACACAGTAGTGTAAACTGCACACCAAGCACCAGTTCAAACTTCTGTTGCATTGTATGAACTTCTGCAAATAATCCTGAATGTTCACACTGCTGTTATGAGATACAAGATAAATGTTGTCTTCTTCCTGTTGAGGCACAGAATTGATTATAGCTCAGCAGCAGCATGGCTTAGGCAACCAGAGGAGTGAAAGAGCTGGAAAGAGAAGGCAAAATGCTTTGCTAATGCAACACCTCGATTGCCATAATGGCCTTTTTGCCTAATTCATGTACT